GGGTTCAAACCCAGTCCAGGCCAAAAACTACAAAAAAAAAAAAAACCCAAAAAAACCCCAGAGCTTTCAACAAAATTTTAAACAAGTAGGATCAAAATCCTGAAGCATCTCTTTGAAGCATTGTAACAGGAGGTAAAACATTCCTTTACTGGTATGATCCTGAAGACAAAGCACAATTAAAGCAATGGCTACAAAGCGGTGATAGTGGTTCTGTCAAAATAAAAGCAGACCCGCTCAAGAGCAGAGGTCATGGCAACAGCGTTTTGAGATGCTGGAGGAGTTTTACATGTTGACTTTCTAGAGGGCAAAAGAACAATATTTTGAGAAGTTAGCCAAACTTCAGCAGAAAAATGTCTGGGAAAATTTTACCCCTAAAGTCCTTCCTCATCATGACAACTGTCCTACCCATTCCTCTCATTAGACAAGGACAGTTTTGAGAAAGTTTTAATGGAAAATCGTTAGGTATTGACTTTACAACCATGATGTGGCTCCTTTTGTTTCCCAGTCATTAAAAGGCACCCACTTTATTCCTTCAATTAATAGTGTAAAAAAGACTACATTGGCATGATTAAATTCTGAGGATCCTAAGTTCTGTAGGGATGGACTGAATGGCTGATATAATCACAACTTTTGTAAATTTGATGGGGCTTTTGTTGAGAAATAAAGTTGTATATTTTATATCCTTTCATTCTACTTTTTAAGGAACTTTTTAAAAGTCCCCTCGTAACTTATGGCCAATGGCAGACAGTAATGGTTTTTAAAATACTCCCACAAATTCCTTGATACTTCTCCCCTTGAATGTGGGATGAACTTAGTGACTTGCTTTGTATGGAGAGAATATGGCAGAATGACAGCATGTTACTTTCAAGATTAACATTACATTATCAAAAGCCTTCTAGCTGGGGTCATCTCTCTCTTGCAACTTTTGCTCTGGGGGAACAGATGCAGTGAGTAGCCCTGCGGAAAGGTCTATGTAGCAGGTTGCTAAGCTTTCTGCCAACAGCCATGTGAGTTTGAAAACAGAACTCCCTCCACTTAAGTCTTCTTCTGAAACTGTCACATTGTCCAAATGTCTGACTGCTATCTTGTGAAAGACCCTGATTCCTAATTACCCAGCTGGTTCACTCTGAAGTGCTAACTCTCAGAATCTATGGGTTGACAAATATTTCTTGCTTAACATTGCTAAGATTGTTATACAGCAATAGATAACTCTGATACTCGGCCCTGTCAATTCTAGTCACTTTGTTCTGTCTTCTCAACTGAGCTATCCTCTGTTTGGATTTCCCTTCCCTGAGCTAAGGACTGAAGCTGCCTCCAGGTAGTCAACCGAGGAAATTGTAGTGATCACGTCATTGCAACTTTTATAGGTCAAAATTATACGGTGCCAGTTGTCCAAGATCTGGACACCGTTGTTTTACATGTCCCCCACCCTCCACCCCCGTTATTCCTTCATGGCCAGAACGAGCTTAAACCTTGATCTTGATTTAGATGTGAGTTCTACTGGGAGTCAGTAACTTCATGCAACTTAGTGAAAAGGTTCTTTGTATTTTCTCAAGGTATTAAGAATCTTTGGAATCAGGAGAGGATTAAAACTCAGCTTTAAGTTGTGGCAGGCCTTGTACCAATGAATGAAGAGAATAAAGAAAGGTTGAAGGCATCAAAATCAACTTTCTAGGCTCGGCGCCTGTGGCTCAATTGGCCAGGGCGCCAGCCACATACACCTAAGGTGGCAGGTTCGAATCCCCAGCCCGGGTCCGCCAAACAACAATGACGGCTGCAACCAAAAAATGGCCAGGCGTTGTGGCGGATGCCTGTAGTCCCAGCTACTTGGGAGGCTGAGGCAGGAGACTCGCTTGAGCCCAGGAGTTGGAGGTTGCTGTGAGTGTGATGCCATGGCACTCTACCCAGGGGGATAGCTTGAGGCTCCGTCTCAAAAAAAAAAAAAAAATCAACTTTCTACAGAGAGAAGCTGGGGTTATAAAATGCAACACATGAACACCTTGTGTAGAAGAACAGCTGGTTCCATTTACTCTGATGCTTAGTCGTTTACTTCTTCCCCTTTGGTCCTTGCTCTGAGAACACAAAAGCCAGGCTTGGTTGACACTAGCTACCATCTGGTGACATACGTAGTGAACTGTCTTACCAACATATTTTTCCCAGCTGCTCCTTCCTTTCCGCTAAGGTTGGTAATGCACATACATGCCACAGTCCTGACTTTTCTTCTCTATTTCACTACACACAATTTAATCAGTTCCAAGTCAGTGGAGGCCTTTTTTTTCACATAAAAACATACTCAAATTCACTTTAACGGATGCTCTCCCTTTTATTTCCATATCTCTCCTAGTTAAGAGCACAGAAAAATTCCCACAGATCATTTCCCTCTTAGGCTTATTCTCTTGGTAGGCCAGATAAATCATGCTGATTGTGGGGGATCACCAGCAGAGCTATTGTTGTAACTCTAGGTCCACAAATTAGAATTGGAATAAAACATCATGGATAAATCAGTTTCCATCACATTTTAAAGAAACATGGAGAATTTCTGCACCATTTAGTGTAAGGATTTCTAAGGATTTCTGCACCTATTCAGTGTAAATCATTGAAATAGTCAGGATATATAAATAGATATATAAAAGAAATCACCTATCCTTTCCAAAAATTTGATAGTCTAATAGGAAAAATAAGGACATAATCCTTACAACCAAATGTTTTGTAAAAACCATTGAAAATATAGGAATGAATTAGAACAGTATTTCAAACAGGAGAGAGATTAGAGCTATCTGGGAATTAGACAAAACTTTCTGTAACAATTAATACTAATTTTTATTATGAGGTATCAGTAGGGATTGCATATTAGTAGGAGAAAAAGAAAAGGATGAGAAATTACATTGGCAATCTGGGCTTTTAATAAATTTAACTTAATCCATACAGCTCATTTCGTTTTAAGAATTCAGAAATGTGTTCTAATAAATACATACAATTTAATATACATTCTCTAAAGTTAAACTCTGACTTCTTGTTATTAAAATATGTATGAGAAACATATTTAAGACTTCATAATTAGCTTTCAATCTGAATAGCTTGCTACCCTTTTGAAAAATAAACTGCCTCTGACTTTTTGCCTAGTTTTAAGTTGATACAGAGTCGCATGAAAAGATGCCGGTAGGTTTCTAAGAAACCCAGATATTTATTGAGCATCTGGAAACTCACACCTTAATGACTCCAGTTTTAGAGACAAAACAAGATTTGGAGACAGAACACTCTTGATACATTTACCTAGAGTGTCTTTGTGTTTGTTTTTAAACTCTGGACAATTCCAAGAAAGTATTCTAAGACTCTGGGAGCCTATTCAAACAATGACTTTCCTTTGAAATAGGATAGTCGGCCTCCCTTAAAGGCATAGTAGTCACCTTTGACACAGGAACTGAAGGTAGAGGGGGGGAAAGGATGTGGGAAAGCAACCTTAGTGTTGGCGTTAAAAAAAAAAAAAGACAACCGATTTGCATTAACTTTTGTTTCTAGGTGTCTGGCCTAGTCCAGAGAATGCAAATGGCAAATTGAGCTCAATCATCCTTCGGTCTGATGCGAAAGGCTGATGTGAGTAAGAGGTTCGGAAGGGGGCCCAGGTATCATGAGGAGAGCTGCAACAAAGGAATAAGAATATCAGCGGTTGAATTGCCCCCAAGAGGATAGAAATAACAAGAATAAAAATTTACAAAAGGCAAAATAATCTCACCTATTCTGAGATGTTTAGAACACAGTATGTAATGTTGATATCCTTAAGCTTACTGGCCTTGGGAGAGAGTGTGTGGGGATGAGACAGAGAGAGAGAGAGAGGGACAGACACAGACACTGATAGTATTGATGAATGGGGAGCCGGAAAGATAAGGGAGGCTAAGGGGCTTTGAAACGGAAGGGTGTCTACTGTCCTGGGGACCTTTGAAGCACAGTCCATGACGAATTACATTATCTCCAGGCTTAGAGAATTCCGAGAGACAAATATGAGATGACAAATCAAAGGCCTTCAGTAAGGGAGTCTGCAGCTTGGTGTACAAGTCTGTACTGTTTCGCTTTGTGTGATGTGCGATGGGGGGAACGGGGAAAACTGGACAGAGCGCGAGGCAGGAGGAGGGGGTGGGAGGAGGAGGAGGAGGTCCTTCTACCTGCACACACCTCGGTGGCCGGGGGAGGGGCGGGCAGGATGTAAATCGGCCCCTTCACACTGGCCAATCAGTAGTCAGGTAAGGAAATTTGGGTCCCCACCCTATCCCGACCGCGCCTTTGAGCACGTGTGTGGTGTTCTGGGACCTTTGTGCCGCAACGTCACGCTTGGCGGGCACCCTGGTCCCGTTTTCTTGTAGGATGTGATTAATTCTCTTCTGCTCCGTACCTCATCACAGGTCGCGTCCCCCCCCCCCCACCTCTCTGCCACCTCCTGCCCATTCTCTCCCGCGCCCTAGCGGGCTAGAGCCTTCAGCATTGCGACCCGTAGAGTGTGCGGAGCTTGGCACAAGTCGCTGGGACTGTGACAACCAGCCTCCGCCAGTTCCGCGAGGGTGCAGGCGGCGAGCCTCCGCTCGGACACCGCGGCACTCCTGCCCGCGCCTGGCAGTCCTCCGCCGGTCCCGAGGCAGCACCGCCCGCCCTGCACCTCCCGGCTCTGGGTCTGTCCTGTGGGGCTCCGGCTCCAGACCGCTCGGCCTCGGAAACTCCTGCAACGTCCAGAATACAGAAAATAGACTCATCACCTAATTCGCCAGGGAGCCAGAGCGCTGCGGGGCCGTGGCGCTGCCTTCCCCGCTCCTCCCTCACCCCACCCCCGCCCGTGCTCCCGGAGTCACCCAGCCTACCTCCCCCTCGGCACCCCCCCCCCCCGCCCCCGGCAGACAAAGGGCCTGGGCAAATTCGCCGCCCGGCCTCCTAGCGCTCCGGGGAGCGGCTGCCCCGCAGTGGATCGCGCAGGAGGCGCGCGGGGCCCGAAGCCGCCGCCGCGGGAGCGCAGTATGGGGAAGAACCGCGAGATGCGCCTGACTCCCGTCTGCTGCTGTTGCCTCCTTTACCAGCTGGGGTTCCTGTCGAATGGCATCGTTTCAGGTAAGTTCTTCAGTGACTTTCCACTTTCCTTTCCAACTTCCCCAGAGGAGACGAAAGCATGGGTAGGCAGGGCTGGTGCAACCGGTGCGTGTCGGGCGGGGATCAGTGGCCAGCAAGAAAAATGGGCATGCGGGGTTCGGATGAGGGGGTCAAGCCCCTAAGCGAAGCACATTTCTCCTCGGCTCATTTTAATTTATCTGTGAAACGATGCGGGGTTTCCTTCTAATTAGAGTAGTAATATTTGCAAAGGTACGTTTAGGCACCTAGGGGAAAATTAGGAGGTTCGCAAATTAATAGCAATGCTTTTCTCTGCCATATACTTTAGAATTCGCTTGAATGTGTTAGAGACTATGCACCGGTTTTCTTTAAAACAACTAACTGCCGCCACCCAACTTTGACTCTCCCTTTCCTTCCCAGTATAATCATACTTTTACTTTGAAAATGCTGGAGTCTGTAATCTGATCACAAGGCTTCGGGGCTTGCAGAGCTAGACGGGTGGTCTCCATTGCTTGCACGCGAGCGCCTTGTAGCTTCACGGACTGTGAGTCTGGAAATGCTTGTGCTAGTGGAACCGCTGCTCTTTAAGCTCCGCACTTCTCTGTCTGCCCCGCCAGCAGGGCTGCAGCTCGCCTCCGACCTCGAGGAATGGGAAGTCGTGTTTCCTGCACTCTGGCGCCGGGAGCCGCTGGACTCGGCCGGCGGCAGCGGGGGCAGCGCAGACCCGGGCTGGGTGCGCGGCGCAGAGGGCGGCGGAGGCCCCCGGGTGCAGGCGGCCGGCAGCTCACGCGAGGTGCGCTCGGTGGCCCAGGCGCCTCTGGAGGAAGCCGTGGAAGGCCAGTCTGGGTCCCGGCTCTGGCCCCCGCCGCCGCCGGGAGGTGAGGAGGACGAGGAGCTCGAGTCGCAGGAGCTGCCGCGGGGATCCAGCGGGGCTGCCGCCCTGTCCCCGGGCGCCCCAGCCTCGTGGCAGCCGCTGCCTCCCCCCCAGCCGCCCCCGTCCCCGCCCCCGGCCCAGCCCGCGGAGCCGGATGGCGACGAGGTGTTACTGCGGATCCCGGCCTTCTCCCGGGACTTATACCTGCTGCTCCGGAGGGACGGCCGCTTCCTGGCGCCCCGCTTCGCAGTGGAACAGCGGCCAAGTCCTGGCCCCCGCCCCACGGGGGCAGCGTCCACCCCGCGCCCTCCGGCGCCGCCAGACGCAGGCTGCTTCTACACCGGAGCTGTGCTGCGGCACCCCGGCTCGCTGGCCTCTTTTAGCACCTGTGGCGGTGGCCTGGTAAGCGCCTTTCTTCCCCAGCTCTCCTCCTCCTGCTCTCATCTTCCCCCATCTCCATCTTCCCTAGCGGCTCCTCTCCGGGCCCGGGGAGCAGGCTCATTTGCATGCACCGCCTCCCGCTGCAGCGGGCTCCTTCTGAATTGAGACGGCACCACCCAGGTGTCTGCACCGTTCGCCTCCAGTGGAACATCTCCAGGGCAGTCAGTGAATCGGAAGTCTAAGTGCATGGATAAATGGCCTTTTCCTTCCAGATGGTTATAAGTGACTTTGGAAACTATTTGAAGCTCTGCCTCCTTGTAACTTCCTAATGGCCCAACTTCTTCCTATACTCTAGGGTTTCCTGAAATAAGACCACCACTTGGTGTCTTTTAGGAGATTGAAACGCAGCCAATCTGCTCACCGCTAAGTCTCTCTGAACTTTGGTTTGCCCCCTCCCCACCCAAGTTCCTCATTTATTTATTTATTATCTTACAGTTTTTTGCATGTCCTATTCCAAAGCTGTCAGAACACTTCTCAAGGAAGTTACACTCTGACAGTTTAGAATTGAAGCATCTTAACAGCCTTAGCAGAAACTTGTTCACTGCTCTCGAGAAAGGTCTCGGAGGGGCTGTGAGCTGAGATACTGTGAGCTGTTGACTAAGGGATGACGGTAGAATGCAGTCAGTATTCAAAGGTCATTTGACATTTTCTTTCTAAGATTTACATTTTATTTGACAGTTTCTTTATTTCTCGCCCCACCTCAGGGAGGAAGGTAGAAAGGGTGGAGAGCCTTGTGACTAGAAAGTAAAAGTCATTTGGTCCATCAGTGTAGGTCATCATTTGACTTTTCTCCCATTGTCATGACCCAGGATTTGGACTTTATGGTTACCTCTTATATGTTGTCCTTTACTCTGTGTATGTGTGTGTGTGTGTGTGTATGGTCAATACACATAACATCAAATTCACCATTCTAGCCATTTTTAGATGTACAGGTCAGTGGCATTAAGTACGTTTGCTTTGTTGTGCAGCAGTCACCACCTTGGCTTTTCTTACTGGTTTAAGGCAAAACTCACAAAATGTTGAAAATGTCCTGTGATTTGTGTTTTCATTTTTCTGTTCATAGAGAGCCAATCAGGAAATCCACAAGAACTGTGTATGGAGGCTACCTGCTCATTTGGACCTAAGCCCCACGGCGGAAAATATCCCTACCATGAAAGCTACCCCAAACCAGGAACTGTTTAAAAAATAGTTAAAAATCCAAACAAAATATAACTAGAGATTGCTTATGCCTCCTCTTTGCTCCCATATTCAAATGATGTAAGTTGCTGGAAAGGGCTCATAGTGATAAATACTTAAATATAGACATTTTTAGGCATGAGGGGAAAAATTGGCATGGGGAATTACGTGAAAAGTTTTTTAAAAATGTTTTCTGCAGAACACATTTCACTGGGGAAAACATTTTGTGGGAATTTCATTGTCTACTAGCTTTTGGCTGGGGGTTAAATAATCGCATATAGAAAGTTCCTGGTGTGGTAGGACCAATAGGGGATAAAGCATTTCACTGTGTTGAAATGTGGGCTTTTGGTCAGATTTTCCAAATGAGCTATGCCTTCCCTCCATACTTAAGGAAGCAAAGTTAGAATTATAAGTAGGTTTTTCATTGACTGAATAAGAGATTAACATCCCCCCACCCCATGCTTCGTTTACCATGTTGGACTTTTCCTCACTTTTCCTATAGGCCACATGTGTATAGGTTCTGAACTGGGAAGTCTTTGTTATTGAGGAAAACTGAAGTTGCCAGTAATACAGTATAGCAGTCAAACTTTCAATAAAAAAGTTAAGCAAATAGCCAAAAAGGGTGGGTTTGTTACTCCAGCCTCTACCATGCCAGACCTTTTCCCTCATGAGTTGGTGGGATTAGGAGAGAGAGAGTTGTTATCTGAACTTTGTAGATGGCTTATTCCCTGATGATTAATTGGTCCCTTGTCTATAGTCTTTGATGACCATAAATAAAATGAGAAAAATAGATAACTTAATTTAAAAATTAGATGACAGAATTTAAAACTCTAATGGCTATTTAATATATTCCAAGTCCTCTTAGGGTCTAGACTGGTTAGCTTTTAGGGGCTCACAGATTAAGGAGAAGGATATGATATATAAGTAGAATGTCTCAAGTAAACATGAGACAGTGACAGATCAACATGATTGTCATGTTATGCCCCAGGTAAAATCCACGAGGAGAATTGGGCAAGATTTCCCAAAGTGAGTTTTAAAGCTTGGGTAGAAAAGGCCAGACAAGTGTTGTCGGTAGAGGAAAGACACCTAATGGAAGTATGAAAGTAGAAGAAAAAAATAGAAAAAAAAGTAAAAACAAAAGAAAAAGAAATAAAAGAAAAGAAAGAAAACAAATTCCTGTGACTAGACCAGAAGATGCAATAGAGAAACTGATCCCAATGTCTGCAGAAGACAGACCTCAAAACTCTTGCCTGCTACAGTATGGGGAGCTTGGTCTGTCTGGAATAAGTGACTTATAAGTGTGTTCTATGAACACATTCTTATTCCTCTGCATCTCTAGAAATCTGTGATCCTGTAGATCTAACATGAAGAATCACGATAACCTTATGTAGAGAGGGCGAATTATTTATAAAATCATCTGCCTTTAGTTTGCACCATTTCTTTTTCTTCTCAGTAAAAGCTTTCTACTGTCAGTTGCATAGAGAAGAATATGCGGTCTGACATCAAGTTCATGACATGCCCTAGAAAATGCCTCATCACTGAATATCAGTAGGGTCACCCGCAAAAGGACTCCCCTTGGGAAGCTGTGCATCAACGCCAGTGCCTAGCTCATTGCTGAATCTCACTTTGACCACCTTTGAGGTGCTCCCCTTGGGAAGCTGTGCTCTAATGCCAGTGTCTAGTTCACCCTTCAAAGCACTCGAAGGTCACCATAGTGTTATTCAGCAATGAAGTACGTAGCACATTTTTTTTTTTTTTTTTTTTTTTGCAGTTTTGGCTGGGGCCGGGCTTGAACCCACCACCCCCAGTATGTGGGGCCAGCACCCTACTCCTTGAGTCACATGCGCCACCCCAGTATGTAGCACTTTTTCTAGGATGAGTTCACAAACTTAATTGTCTGACCTCATAGATGACTAAGTGTATCTTCCCTTCCCTTCTTTCAGGAACCAGCTTTTCCTACTGTTGCCTGAGCTCCTCAACAACTTTTGGACTAACCTTTCTGGATCTCATTTTCCTATTTATTATATGCACCAACTGTAATTGTATATCTATCAATTGATCTTTGATGAGCTATTATTATTTCTGTTTCCCCTAATTAGTCTAATATTAAATAATAATCTTATGCAGGCCATATATTTGATCCAATAGACACAAATATACTAATACTAATCATTCAATCATTCAAACATATTGAACAACTTCTATTTGCTTTTTCTTATATACAATTATGCCAAACGGTATAATTGCAACTTACAACAGATAGGTGAGCCAAGAAGCCAAAAAAGATGAACTGACACCCAGCAACATCACACCACACAAAAGAGTCTCAAAGTCCAGTTAATTAATGCATGAAGCAACAAAATTAATAGAGTAAATAGAACACTTCAACAAAACTACATTGCTCATAAGAATAGTAGCAGATATATATTCATGGAAAAAGCAAATAGGTACAATCTGCTACCTACAAAAATGATTAGATACAATAGAATTTTAAATATATGATCATTACAATAAAAAACTCAATAGATGAGTAGGTAAATTGGTGAACTAGAAGATCAAACCTGGAAATTATCCCAGAATGCAAGACAAATGAATACAAAATATGAAAGTACAGTAGTGAGCCAGGAATTACAAGTCTTGATCCAAAATTTCTCTAATAGGAGTTATTCCTTTTTTAATTGATTAAAAGATAGAATTTTGAAAATGCATGCAATTAATATCCTACCATCTGCTGAGCTGTTGCTGTAAGGCCAGATACTTAGTACTTTGAGTGTGGATCAGAAAAATGGTGTTCCAGGTGAGCCTCACTCGACATACACCAAAACCAATTTTTAGAACAAATTTTATATTTGGAATTAAAATTTAAGACAAACACAAAACAGTTTATGTATGGAATCCTAGATTTTAAAATTTTTCATCTGTTTTACGATTGTCTCGTTTGAAATAAAATGAGCAATTTTTTTTTTTTTTTTTAGCAATTTGCCTGTCTTATTTTTTCAAAGTTTTCATAGAAACAAAGATATGTTCTTCACTCATATTTCTCTAGATTTATTATTTGGCTTTTGACTAATTGTATAATTACAGAACGTTCTGCCTACATGTAAGCAAACAAATATGGCTGAATGTTGGTAAACATGCAGGTTAATCAGTGGGAATGAATAATTGTGGCCAGTTCTGACATAAGGGAGATGCTACTAGCAATGTCCATTTCACGTGGTGCATGCCTCATTGATATTTTTTTCCAGGTGACTTGTAGGGTATTAAGTAAATGATTCAAGTTGAACTGGTTTGTGTAAACAAGGTTGGTTAGGTAGAGGTTAAAAGACTCCCTTTTTTGGTATCAGAATTGAATTGCCAATGATAATATACAACCCTTCAGATTGAAGAACCAAACGTCAAACTCAAGATGGCATAAGTAAAGAGAAACTCAGATTTAGATACATCATGGCAATGCATCAGAAATTTAAAGAGAAAGAGAAAGCCTACAAATGTAATAAAGAAGGGGTTATCTACAACAGAATGAGATTCAGATTGACCTTAGAGGATTAATTCAATAATACTGGATGCCAGAGGATCAGGTAGCTTCAGAGTTCCTGGAAAGAAGAATCACTTTGAAACCTGTATTACATACTCAGCTAAAATTCCATTCAAATCTGAGGCCAAAATAAAATCATTGTCAAAATGATAAACACTCAAACTTTACTATAAACAGTCTCCAAAAAGGTCTGCAAAAGGTCTTCCTCTCACACCCACTCCTCATTTATTACTCAGTGTTCTTGCCTGGA